ACTCCCCAAGTGACCACAGCAACTGCAGCTGAGCCAATTTGAAGCCAGGAGCCAGGAGCTCTTCCAGGTCTCCCACACAGGTGCACGTTCCCAATGCTTTAGGCCGTCTTCAACTGCTTTCCCAGGCCACCAACAGGGAGCTGGATGGGAAGTGGAGCTGCTGGGATTAGAACTGAAGCCCCATACGGGATCCTGGTGCGTGCAAGGCGAGGACTTTAACCACTACACTAGCTATCGTGCCGGGCCCCAAAATATGTTTTAAAAATCGAAATTATATCATGCATCTTCTCAGCCCATCATGGAATAAAACTGGAGACCAACAAGTTAAAATACCCCAGAAAATATGTAAATACTTGGAAACTGAACAATATGCTGCTATGTAACAATGGATTATTGTTTTAAAACTTTGAAATGAATGAAGGTAATATATCAAAACTTACAGGACTTAGCCAAGTCTGTGCAAAGAAAAACTTTACTGCAATCAAAATGTCAGGAAACTAGAAAGGTACCAGGTAAATGAGCTAATCATTTGCTAGTTTTTTTTTAAGATTTTTTTTTTTATTACAAAGTCAGATAAAGAGAAGAGGAGAGACAGAGAGGAAGATCTTCCGTCTGATGATTTCCCCAAGTGGCCACAACAGCCGGAGCTGAGCTGATCCGAAGCCAGCAGCCAGGAAATTCATCCAGGTCTCCCACATGGGTGCAGGGTCCCAGGGTTCTGGCCCGTCCTCTACTGCTTCCCAAGGCCAAAGGAGTGAGCTGGATGGGAAGCAGCGCTGCCTGGATTAGAACCGGCGCCCATATGGGATCCCAGCAAGTGCTAGGCCACCACGCTGGGTCCTAGTTAGTTTTCTGGGAACTAGAAAAACAACAGTAAAATAATCCCAAGATTAGCATAACAAAAATAAATAGGGAGGAAAATAAGCCACATAGAGACCAAAAGAACAATACATAAGATCAATGAATAAGAGCTGGTTCTTTGAGAAAATGAACAAAATAAATACACCACTAGCCAACAAATAAAAAAAAGAAAAGGACACACAAATCAATAGAATCAGAGACCAAAAAATTCATAATAGCAAACATACAATTATCAGAAACGATTATAAGCAATTATATGCCAACCAATCGGAAGACATGGAAGAAATGGACAGATTACTGGACACATATAATTCAACAAAACTGAATCATGAGGTAATTAAAAACTATAATAATGACAGTCCCATGCAACCAGTGGCTACCTACAGTGAGCGGACAGCTCCAGGCTGACCCCCAGTGGACCTCAAGCACTTAGCAGTTAGGACGCTATTGTCACCTCTTTCCCCAAGTGAGAGCCCCGGAGACCACCTGGCAGGCATCGGCACACCTGATGGTGCCTCACAGCAAGGAATAGTTCCCATTCTTTTTAAGATGTATTTATTTTTATTGCAAAGTCAGACATACAGAGAGAGACAGAGAGGAAGATCTGCTGTCCACTGATTCACTCCCCAAGTGGATGCAACGGCTGGAGCTGCGCTGATCTGAAGCCAGGAGCCAGGAGCCTCTTCCAGGTCTCCCACATGGGTGCAGGGTTCTGAGGCTTTGGGCTGTCCTTGACTGCTTTCCCAGGCCACAGGCAGGGAGCTGGATGGGAAGCAGGGCTGCCGGGATTAGAACCGGCACCTATATGGGAGCCCTGTTTGTGCAAGACAAGAACTTTAGCTACTAGGCTATCACGCCGGGCCCTGGTGTTCCCATTTCTTAGCATGGAAGACACGTCAATGTCAACACTAACTGGTCAGAATTCAACTAGTAGGAAGGCGAGCTGGTCAGCACTTGGCAGCTAAAGGCTGGACACACACCGCTGCCTTATGAAAGCAGTTAATTAGCAAAGGAGTGGTTAGTTAAAGCTGACCTGGAGTCCTCAGTCTAGGATGGGCTCGTCCGGCTGTGGTTTCACCTGTGTTAATCACTGACTCTTCAATCCCCTGATGAGTCAGACATCCTCACGTGACCCTGGATACATGTGTTCCGCAACAGCCAATGCATCCCAGGCACTCCCAGACCAGAGGAGGAGGATGCCCATGCGAACTGGGGACGCTGTTGCTGAAGGCTCAGATGGCTGCTGTGGGCCTCTGCTGAGCCACGAACACCCAAGGAGCATGAGCACTGAGCCCGGACCGTGGCTTGTGTTGCACTCTTGGAAGAGGACAGAGCTCCAAGACACAGGGGCAGGCAGATCAACAGCACCCTGAAGTCCCCACCATCTGTCACTTGGTACTGTCACGTCTACCTTGGGTCTCCACGAGTTCTTGGGCCTTTTCTGAAGACCAAGTAAACATGTGATATGTCACTACACTCCAAGGTTTTAGTGGCTTATTTTCCTTTCTGAATGGGTGTAATTCAAGGTTCTCAAAGTTTGAGATTCCAAATTCCCATTCCCTGTTCCTATCATCTCACAGAAAAAATGGAATATATAGAACCCAGCGCAGTAGCCTGGTGGCTAAAGTCCTCACCTTGCGTTTGCTGGGATCCCATATGGGTACTGGTTCATATCCCAGCTGCTCCACTTATCACACAACTTCCTGCTTGTGGCCTGGGAAAGCAGTCGAGGACAGCCCAAAACCTTTAGCCTCTGTACCCTCATGGGAGACCCACAAGTTCCTGGTTTCTGATCTGTTAGCTCCAGCCATTGTGGCCATTTGGGGAGTGAACAAGCAGATGAAAATCTGTTTCTCCTTCTCCCTGCAAATCTGCCTTTCCAAGAAAAATAAATACATCTTTTTTTTTTTTTTTAAGTGGAGCAGCCAGAACACAAACTGGCTCCCGTATGTGATGCCGGCATTGCAGACTAAGCCAGTCTGCTACCTCATTTTTTAAAACCTCTTTCCCATTTTACTTTTCAAAATTTTAAATAATTCCTTTAGCTGAAAAGCAGAGGGGTTGGATTGCAGAAATATTTCCCTCAGCCACACAGCAGGCACCCAACGACTTGGGCCAAGACCCACCGGCTGAGATGGTGTGTAGATGTGAGCTTGCATCAGGAGCTGAGGCAGCATTTGAACCCAGGCACTCCCAGCCAGGGTGCTGGCATCCCAAGGCCACCTTGACCGTGATGCTAGTGGGGCCTCATGCCTTTCACTTCACCTTCCAGCCAAGCGGAGTGTTTCCTCAGCTCGTCATTCCTCCCATCTTCCCGCACGCCTCTCAGCCTGGCGGGCACTGGGAGCCAGGGGAAGTTTCACTCCTCTCTGCTCTTAGTTGCGGGAGCTTCACCTAGAAGGTCCCATTAAATTATCCAAATCCACCACTAGCTCTGACTCCTGGAAAGCAGGAAGTTATCCAATTAATAAAGCACTTAAAGTCCAACTAATATTTTTTAAAATATGTATTATTTTTTTTTATTGGAAAGGCAGATTTATAGAGAGAAGGAGATACAGAAAGACAGATCTTCCATTCGCTGGTTCACTGCCCAAGTGGCCACAATGACTGGAGCTGAGCTGATCCAAAGCCAGGAGCCAGGAGCTTCCTCTGAGTCTCCCATGCAGGTTTAGGGTCCTAAGGTCTTCAGTCATCTACTGCTTTCTCAAGCCACAAACCAGGAGCTGGATGGCAAGTGGAGCAGTTGGCACTCATACTTCAAGGGTGAGGATTTGGCCAAATGAGTCATTGCGCTGAACCCTAAAGTCCAAGTAATATTAAAACTGTATTTGATGGGGCTGGCACCATAGATGAACAGGCCAATCCTCAGCCTGCTGGTACTGGCATCCCATATGGGCACTGGTTTGTATCCCAGCTGGCCCACTTCTAGATCCAGCTTCCTCCTGATAGCCTGGACAAGCAGCAGAGGACAGCTCAAGTTCCTGTGCCTCTGCATCCACGTGGGAGACTTGAAAGAAGCTCCTGGCTTCCCGCTTCCGACTGGCACATTTCTGGATGTTTTAGCCGCTTGGGGAGCAAACTAGTGGACGGAAGATCTTCCACTCTCCGCCTTTCTAAGTAAGATAGAATAAATCTTCAATTTCTTCTTAATTAAAATATATTTGAAAAGCAAACCAAGAGAGAGCTCTTCCATCTGATTAACCTTTGAAACACCTGCAGCAGCCAGCAATGAGCCAGGCCTAAGCCAGGAGTCAGGAACTCTACCCAGGTGTCCCACCTGGGTGCCAGGGACCCAGCACTTGAGCCATTGCCTGCTGCTTCCCCAGATGCCTGCTGCACACAAGCAGAGGAGCAAGGACCCCACCCCAGCATCCTCCAGCAGCAGCTTCTCATGCAGTGCCACAACAAGCAAGTCCAACTCACTGTGAACATAGATTCCTTTACTGCAGAGTTGGGTGGAAGATACTGAAGTAGACTCTAGAAATTCTGGCCTTCAGAGGGTCTCCTTATTACTAAAGTCTTAAGGGTTTATTCTTAGGCACGGAGAAGCAACTTGGGTGTAAAAATCACCGGCAACTTAAAATACAATTAGGCACAGATTTACCTGCAAGGATCAACATGCACCAAGTGTCTTTTTTTATTTAGAGTAAATAAGGAGAGTCAGGGTCTCCTTACAAAATCTGCCTAAATGAACAACTGCTACTTTTTTCCAGTCCAGAGATTTTTTGGGGGGGCGGGGGTGGGGGAGAGGCACTGCAGACTCCGCCCACGAGCGTCCAAGTGGCGGACGCACCTCACGCTGGGGGCGCGCTTTAACTCACGTTGCTGCGGAGGCATCCCGACGTGACGCCGGCGGCGGAGGCGGGGCGGCCGGATCTTGCTCGCGGCTTCTTGGGCTCCTCCCCCCCACCCCCGGCGCCTCACACGCTCATTGTGAGGCGACTGCAGCCGCCTGCCTGTCAAGCGCGTTGAGACCTAGAGACCTTAAATCCTCGGGACGCGGGAGTGCCAGCCCGCGCTGCCCACGCTGCCCGCTTCTCCCGGGAGCACCCGCCCGCCCGCGCCGCCGCCGCCGCAGCCGCTCCCTCCCCCGCCGGGCGCTCCTCCCTCTTCCTCCCGGCGCGGACACGCGCGCGCGCACGCGCACTCGCGCCAGGCCGGCTCGCGCCCTCGCGTTTCGCTCCGGCCCGCGAGACCCCCCTCCCCTTCCGCCTCGCGGCGCTTCCTCGCGCCGCCGTCTTCTCCAGCCGCCCCCGGCACCGCGGGGCCTCCCCCACCCCCCGGCCCGGCCGCCAACGGCGGGTCCCCCCCTCCCAGCTTACCGCGCTCTCCCGCCGGGGGGCCCAGCCCCGGCTCCCCCCTCTCTCTCTCTCTCTCCCCTCCCTTCCCTTTAATTCCCCCCCTTCCGGACGCTGCCATCATGCTGAAGCCTCAGCCGCCACAACAGACTTCTCAGCCCCAGCAGCCGCCGCCCCCCGCGCCGCAGGCCGTGGCCCGCCGGCCTCCCGGGGGCACGAGCCCACCCAACGGCGGCCTCCCGGGGCCGCTGGCCGCCGCCTCGACTCCCCCAGGGCCTCCCGCGGCCGCTTCCCCCTGCCTGGGGCCTGCGGCGGCTGCCGGCGGCGGGCTCCGCCGGGGGGCTGAAGGCATCCTGGCGCCACAGCAGCAGCAGCAGCACCCGGAGAGGTCGGGGGCAGGCGCCATCGGCAGCGCCAGGTGAGCCGAGGGCTGCTGCGGGCGGAGGCTCGGGCCTCAGCCGGCCACCTTTGGGGTGCGCGGGGAAGGGGGCGGGAACCCCTTCGGGTCCCCCAGCTGGCCTGGGGAGTGGAGGGGGGGGACTGTGGAAAGGCTCGTGGGCGGCCAGCGGGGCCTTGTGACGGCCATGTCCAGCCCCGAGGGCCCCAGGCAGTACACGGAGCCCAGGCCCCGAGGGGAGGCGGGGCGCATCCCGCCGGCGCCGCCGGAACGGGTCCCGGGATGGGGGGGGGACACGAGCAGGGGATGGGGTCCCCGGCTCCATTAGCACGGAGGGTCTCGCGGTCCCCGGCTCCAGCCAATGGGGAGTCAGCTGCGGGAAGGGGTCCCCGGCCGGAGCCAATGGAGGGGGGCGCGCGGCCCACAGTTGGACCAATGGAAAGGGAGGGACTTGGAAGCGGGTTGCTACCTCCCCGTTCCCGGGCTGGCCAGTAGGAGGGGAGCGGGGCGGGCGGGGGCCGGGAGGAGGGACTGCGGCCCGGACGGGCGGACGTGCGCGCGGCTGCGGCGGCCCCTGACCCCGGCCCTCGCGCGGCCCGGTGGCATTGGGGCCAGGGCCGAGAGGGCGTGGAGCGGCTCCCGCGGGGCCCGCGGCTCCGGAGCACACGCCCTGCTCCGGCCCGTGTGTGCGCGTGTTCGTGGAACCGGGGTGACGGTACACGCAGGCGCAGTGCGCTCTCGCGGGCGGGGGCAGGCCTTGAGGCGGCCTGTGGGTCTGAGTGCGCAGGCGCAGACCGGGCGAGGCCTCCTGGCGGATGGCTTCTGCGGCTGCGCCGTCCCCCAGCCCCGCCAACGGCCCCCTCATCGCCGCCCTCCTCTACCGCGGGTTACATCAGCCATCGAGGAGCAGTGTTACCTGGCCACTGGTGACGCCCGCAGAGTGGGTATCGGGCTGAATGGAGGACGAGGCTGAGGGGGGAGGGCCAGCCCGGCCTCCCCGGGTGTGGGCTGTGAGGTTGCTGAACCTGATTCTTACCTCTTGGGAATAGAGTGCCTGAAGTAGGTAGCTGGGGATCCGTGCTTCCAAGGCTTTCACCTGCACCTCTGTGGTGGGCTGTCCAGCGCAGTGGCGTTGACCTGTTGGAAGCCTGCAGCTTCCCCCCACCCCCCGAGAAAGTGGGAATCTTGTGTCGCATTGGAATTTAGAGTGAAGTGACAGCTGCTGCTGAGCGGGGTCCTCTTCACTGGCATCAGGAAGGAAAGTGTTGAGTGGCAGTTTGGAAGCTCTGTTGATTGACTGGCTGGTACCCTCAATCAGAACCTTCCCAGTACTTGGTTCTAGCATGTATCGGTCGTTGGTGGTGTATAGGGGATTCAGCATTGCAGTAACACGTGTCCTGTTTCCTTCTCTTACAGGGGCCAGAGCACAGGGAAGGGGCCTCCACAGTCACCCGTGAGTGCCTTTTCCTCCCAGTAGAAAAAGGGGACCTCAAAAACAGCTTCTTGGGATTTTGGGGAAGAGTCAGTGCAGAAATGGTCAAATGGACACAGGGAGGGCTAAGTGGGCAGCAATAGAATGTGGCAGTTTAGAAGGCAAGCTGTCAACTGGCTGCTCCCTGACATCTCCATCCTGACAGGTGTTTGAAGGTGTTTATAACAATTCGAGGATGCTGCATTTCCTTACTGCTGTTGTGGTAAGTGGGGACATAGCCACAAGCAATTTGAGGAATGTGAGGGGTCTGTTTTCTGGGGCACACTTTTTAGTTCTTTATCCCTCTTAGGGCTCCACTTGTGATGTCAAAGTGAAAAATGGCACCACCTATGAGGGTATCTTCAAGACTCTGAGCTCCAAGGTCAGTGTACTCAAATCGTCAGCTTTGGGAGTTACAGGACAGAGGATGAGGAGATGGAAGTTGAGGGTGTGGACCGGGTGGCAGTGGTGTTCACAGCCCTGGCCGAGGACTTTAAGTTTCAGGCTTTGGTTGACACTGAGGAGTGGATTCACGGAAAAACATTGCTGGGGAAGTAGTCCTCTTTCTGCCTTCACCATTCTTGACACTGAATTCCTGACTTCGGGGGGGTTGGGGCTTCTGTAGTTTGAACTAGCCGTGGATGCTGTGCACCGGAAGGTATCTGAGCCAGCAGGTGGTCCCCGGCGGGAGGATATTGTGGACACGATGGTGTTCAAGCCGAGTGATGTCATGCTCGTCCACTTCCGAAATGTTGACTTCAATTATGCTACTAAAGGTTGGTGAGGGGCCGTGGGGGGGAGGGGTGCAGGGAGACATGTTGGCTGGATTTTTTTTTTCTCCTCCTTTACCACCTTTTTCTCTGGGGGAGATGGCTGGAATGATGCCTAATACACAATTAGGTGGATTCTGGCTTGTTCATCACCTTTTCCCCTATTTAATTTTTAATTCTTATTCCTCACGAACTATTAATACCAAGTTTTTTGTTTTTTATTGTTGGTGGATTTTGTTTTTCATTTGGTTTGGTTTGGTTTTTGTTTTTACATTGTGTTCCTGAAATAAAGGAGTAGGAAAAGCTTAGAAATTTCATCTGACTCCTGATTTCAACTCTGCCCCCCCCAGACAAGTTCACTGATTCCGCCATTGCCATGAACTCGAAGGTGAATGGGGAACACAAAGAGAAGGTGCTGCAGCGCTGGGAAGGGGGTGACAGCAACAGTGATGACTACGACCTCGAGTCTGACATGGTATGAGGCCCTTCCCCAGAGCGGGCAGTCAGGGTGTGGGGTGTGGACAGGCCCACTCGTGCCCAGAGCATTCTTGGGCACAAGGGTGGTTGCCTGTTCGTGGACAGTCAGGTATCCAATGAAAAGGAACAGGAAACAGTAGAGCATAGAAACCTGTTCTCTTACCCTTATAAGCGAACAGCTGCTGGCGTTTATTTCCTGCCAGTCGTCTTTGCAGTCTTAACTGTAGACCAGATTGCCACTGTGGAGGCCCCTTGGATGTACTGAAAAATTTCTCAGATGTATTTATGCTTTGATGTTTGTGCAAGACTTTGACTTTCTGTATGAGTTTTCATATTGATATGTAGGTCTAGCTTATTAGCTTTAGTGTACTCTTTTATTTTGGTACATGTGTGCTCATGTATATATGCACCTCATTGAATTTGTCTTATGGACTTAACTGATGTGTGTTATTTGCCTCTGTTTTGCTTAGAAAGGGTGCCTCATTGAACTTGTAGCGCATGTATTCCCCATGTACGTGGGCCAGGACGCCTCCAAAGTACAGCTCCATGAGACTTGCTAGGCTTTAGGATTTGTCAGTTTTATTGGTTAGTGCCACTTTGTGCTGCACATACCTGGTTCTAGTGGGTCGAATGCCCACCAGTGGCGCCTCTGCTTTCCCGTTGTTGGTTTGCTCACATTTTAAAATCTTTAACCTAGTGAGAGGGGAATGACATGTCATTTGTTGCTTTTAAATATTTTCCCTCCCCCTTCCCCTAGTCCAATGGGTGGGACCCCAATGAAATGTTCAAGTTCAATGAGGAGAACTACGGTGTGAAGACCACCTACGATAGTAGTTTGTCTTCTTACACGTGAGTGTCTTGGTGCTTCCCAGGTGGCGCGGTGTGGGGTGCTGGGTCAGTCCCAGAAGGCCGAGCTTTAGGTGGGACAGACGTAGTCTGCTCATGCTTTTCTGGGGATCCAGGTTGCCCTTCCCCCATTCCTGGTATGCTTTGTAAACTGCCCCTTCAAGGTTTTCTGATTCCAGCTTGCTCGTATGGGTTCGTCCACCCATACCTTTCCTCTAGAACTTTTATTTACTTATTTATTTTTATTTCAACTTATTTTTAATGTTTGTTCCATAGGTGGGAATTGCAGACCCATGCAGGTCTCTGGGTGGAACAGTCTAGAAGGATTTTATATACATGCATTTGGACTGGGCCTCTACCTTGGTGGTTTAAGATGCTCCTCCCCCCACTGGAGGACCTGAGTCTGGGTCACAATTCGCACTTCCAACTTCCTTCCGACATAGACACCAGGAAGCAGTGGTGATGGCTCAGGCCGTTTGGCTTCTGCCATCCTTCAGAAGGCCTGGGTTGACTTCATGTTCCTGGCTTCCACCTTGGCCCAGCAATGGCCTGGTCAGGCATTTGCAGGGGGGCTCACCAGTGGATCAGAGCATGTTCTCTGTCTCTTGCCTGTTGGATAAATAAAAAGCAAAATATTCAAGTATCTTAATTGCTGTAGATTTAGAGACCTGCTTGGAGCTCTGCCTGGGACCCACTAGATATTGATTTAAATGTTGGCTGGCTTGCAAAGGGAGTACGCGTGTACCTCAGTTGGTTACAGGACTGATGAAAGTGTTTCTCGACTTTTGTCCTTGGCATTGGGATGGTGTTGGTCAGGGTGCCCTTGGAAAAGGACAATTCGGAAGAGTTCCGGCAGCGGGAGCTGCGTGCGGCCCAGCTGGCAAGAGAGATTGAGGCGAGCCCCCAGTACCGCCTGCGGATCGCCATGGAGAATGACGACGGGCGCACCGAGGAGGAGAAACATAGTGCTGTGCAGCGGCAGGGCTCTGGGAGAGAGAGTCCCAGCTTGGCAGCCAGGTGACCGCGGGTGGCAGGCATGGTGCTGCTGGGTGTCCCCAAGGGTCCGCTTTGGGTCTTGTGTCTGTGAGATCTAGGTTAAAGCATCGATATTCCCAGGTTCTAGATTTAGGGGGCTGAAACCTAGAGAACATTGTGGCTTGATGAAAATGAGCAGAGCTTTTGAAGCTTGTAGATTTAGGGTGGCAAATCTTTTCTGAATCACAGCATATATTTCTGTGTATTTGTTCATGTTGTAGGTAAACCTTTTTTCCTTAGAAAACTGAAAGCAGGCTGTAAATGATGTGTATCTGACCGAAGTTGTGCTTTGAAGTATATAATACCACCTTAGCCTTTCTCGTGGGTTAGTAGTGGTAGCATTGTGCTGTACTGGCCAGCTTGGTTGGGTCAAGGGTGGGGTAGGGTAGAAGCTATAAGCCAACAGAACTTTTAGCTGGGACAGGCATTCAGGTGGGAGGGACAGTGAAGGAAGCTAGAGCCAGGCAGTTGGCGAGAACAGCAAGGCCTTGAGAAGACAGGCTTCGTGTTTCCAGAATCTGTGTTGTGGCTGCCCAGCCTTACTTGAGCTCTTTCCCCAGGGAGGGGAAGTATATCCCCCTGCCTCAGCGCGTTCGGGAAGGTCCCCGGGGAGGAGTTCGCTGTAGCAGTTCTCGGGGTGGCCGGCCTGGCCTTAGCTCCTTGCCACCTCGTGGCCCTCACCATCTTGACAGTAGCAGCCCTGGCCCAGGTGCTGAGGCACGTGGTATCAATGGAGGTGAGTTAGGGAGCCAGCTGGTGAGGGGCAGGGGTGGTAATGAAAAAGGTTTCGGAGGTGCATTGCTGGTAATGCAGTAGCTGGGGCTCTGCTTCTTACTGATTTTTTTTTTTTTTCATTTAAAAATATGAATACAGGCCCTTCCCGCATGTCCCCTAAGGCCCAGAGGCCTCTGAGAGGCGCCAAGGCTCTGTCTTCACCCAGCAGCAGGCCTTCTGGAGAGGCGTCCCTTCCCTCTCCCCCTACAGGTAAGCCTGCACAGTGCAAGTGTGTCTCTGCTGCCCAGGAGATGCCTGGCTTCCTGGTGTAGGGTTTAAAGGCTTGGAGTTTGTCCTTTTTTGGACTATAATTGCTCAGTTTTCTTAGGGCTGAAATCCTAGTGTAGCAAGTTATGATGCATCTGACTGACAGATGTCTTGTTTAGATTTGAAGTTGTTGCCAACGTTTTAGTTGTTTGAAAGACCTTCCACCTCCTGATTGGCTATCACAGCCAGGATTGAGCCAGGACAAAAACAGAACTTTCCTCTGAGTCTCCCATGTGGGTGCAGGCACACAAGCACTTGGGCCTCTAGCTGGCGGTCATGGGGGTGCCAGTAGTGTAGGTGGCAGCTTTAGCCACTATGCCACGGCATCGGCCCTGGTTGACAACATTTTAAAACAAGAGAACTCGGAGGTTTTCTGATAACTTCCTTTAAAAGATCAGAAGTTCTGCCAACACCAAGCTTGCTTTACTCTGGGTCTCTTGTTGGTTAGTCAGTAGCTACTGTTGTCTGAACATTGCAGTGGTTCACGGAGCTCAAAGGCCCTTCGCTTGGGTTACTGCCTTGGGAATAGTAATTGGGTGAATTCACACGGTGTTCATGGTAATCCTAGGATGGCTTTTTCTGAAAGAAGGTCTTCCATCTGCTGGTTCACTCCCCCAAATGGCCGCAACAGCCAGAGCTGAACTATTTGAAGCCAGGAGCAGCTTCTGGGTCTCCTGCATGGATGCAGAGAGCTAGATTGGAAGTGGACCATAACAGGACTCAAATTGGTGCCTGTATGGGATGCTGACACCACAAGTTGAAGCTTAACCTACTGTGCCATGGTACCAACCCTACTTCATTTTTTATTTTGAAAGGCAGAATTTACAGAGACAAATGGCCAAAGCTGGGCTGTCCCTGAGCTTCTGACAGCTTAGGGCTGCTTGTCTCCCACATGGGCACAGGGCCCAAGTACCTGGGCCATCCTCTGATGCTTTCCCAGGAGCATTAGCAAGGAGCTGGATGGGAAGTAGAGCATACAGGACCCAAATTGGTGCCCAAATGTGATGCTGGCACTACATGCTGAGGCTTAACCTATGCCCCAACAATAGCTCTGTACTCATTGTTCACTGCTTACTGACCAGCAGTAACCATTGTGCAGCTCCCCCTTTTCTTCCAGTGGGCCGGATGTACCCGCCACGTTCTCCCAAGTCTGCTGCACCTGCCCCCATCTCCGCGTCCTGTCCAGAGCCACCCATCGGTTCAGCAGTGGCAGCCTCTTCAGCCTCCATCCCTGTGACATCATCGGTCACAGATCCTACAGTGGGCTCCGTCTCCCCAGCTTCTCCAAAGATCTCCCTGGCTCCTACCGATGGTAAGGGCCGGGGGCTAGGGAGCTGCGAGCATGCATAGTGTGACTGCAGACATGACCCAGCTTCTCTCTCCTCGCTCAGTAAAAGAACTGTCAACCAAGGAACCTGGCAGAGCTCTGGAGCCCCAGGAACTGGCCCGAATAACTGGGAAAGGTGGGTGTGGCTGCTGTCAGAGCCCAATGCCTCTTTGCTTTGGAAGTGCAGTTCGGTTGGGAAGATGGTTGGGATTCAGAAGCAGGCAGTGCTGCTAGCTGTTTGCTTTCTTGGGATTCTCAAGAACTGCTGTCAGCTGTTTCATGTTGTACCTTCTTTGCTGTTTTTTCAAAGTCCCTGGACTTCAGAATGAACAAAAGCGGTTTCAACTGGAAGAACTGCGAAAGTTTGGGGCCCAGTTTAAGGTGAGAAAAGGAGAATGAACTGGGCTTGTTAGATTATAGGGGTGTAGGGGTGTACATGAGTACTAGGGCGTGGATGCTTGGTGCAACAGTTAAGTTGAGGGAGTGCTGGTTAAAGTCTTGGTTCCTGCACTTGGTTCACTCCAGCTTTCTGCTAACGCACACCCTGGGAGGCAGCAGGTGATGGCTTAGGTATTGGGATCCCTGCCAGCCATGTGGGAGACCTAGATTGAGTTCTGGGCTCCTAGCTTCAACCTGGACCAGCCCTGTCCTTTGCAGGCTTTTGTGTGGTGAACCAACAAATAGAAGATTGAGATCTCTGTAATCTGTTTTTTCTTCTTTCAAATAAATGAATATAACTTGTTTGACGCAAGTAGGTGAGGTAGAGTTGCTGAGCCTTGAGCAGGGGAGCCAGGCAGACCTGGAGTCCTGACATCATTGCACATGCTCATCTCCTTCCAGCTTCAGTCCAGCAGCTCCCCTGATACCAGCCTGGATGCCTTTCCCCCTCGGATCTTAAAGGAGGAGGCCAAAGGGAAGGAGAAGGAGGTGGACGGTCTGTTGGCCTCCGAGCCCCTGGGTTCTCCGGTCTCCTCCAAGACGGAGGCGGTGTTGGATAAAGAGGATAAGGCATCCCTGGCAGCGGCAGGGGGCACTGAGGGGCCGGAGCAGCCCCAGCCGTCCTGTCCGAGCCAAACTGGCAGCCCCCCTGTGGGCCTCCTGAAGGGAGACGACAAGGATGAGGGCCCCGTTGCTGAGTAAGTGGGAGCAGCCCTGGAGACATGGGTGTTGGGTGATAAGGGGACAAGCCACAGGATTTACTTTGCTCTCTCTCATAGACAAGTAAAGAAATCAACGTTGAACCCCAATGCCAAGGAGTTCAATCCTACAAAGCCTCTTCTATCTGTGGTGAGAGGGGGAGAGTTGGCTTTTTGTGTGGGAGGTGGGAGGTACTGTGGAGAACTCCTGGCCCCGGGGCCGTGCATGGGCAAAGAAACATGTGCTGCTTAGAAGCATGTGGTGCTGGATAAGCCACTGGACCTCTGCTTCCTCTTCCTCACCTGTAATTTAAGACTTATCTTGGGGCTTGATGTGCCACTCAGAGCAGTCTGCAAGTACTATCTGTGTAGTTGGGGGTGGAGCAGAAATAAAACCTCCCTTGTCTCCTACAGAACAAATCCACCAGTACCCCGACTTCTCCGGGGCCCCGAACTCACTCAACTCCCTCCATCCCGGTGCTGACAGCAGGCCAGAGTGGGCTCTACAGCCCCCAGTACATCTCCTACATACCTCAGATTCACATGGGACCAGCTGTGCAGGCAGGAGACGATGGCACCTTGGGGCAGAGGTGGGGGGTTCGGTTGACCTGGCTGATGGACCAGGTCAGGCCTGTTGGGCTTTTGCACGCATGTCATTGGTCCGCCTCTCTTTGCATCTTTAGGCACCCCAGATGTATCCATATCCTGTATCTAATTCAGTGCCTGGACAGCAGGGCAAGTACCGGGGAGCCAAAGGTGAGCCAGGACTGCAGGAGTTATAGGGGTACTGCATGTGTGCCCCCCAGCAAGTGGATCTTGAGCTCTGCACATTTGTTGTTCCCCTCCAGGCTCTCTGCCCCCACAGCGCTCGGACCAACACCAGCCAGCATCAGCCCCTCCCATGATGCAGGCTGCTGCTGCTGCAGGCCCACCTCTGGTGGCTGCCACACCGTATTCTTCCTACATCCCCTACAACCCCCAGCAATTCCCAGGACAGCCTGCTATGATGCAACCCATGGCCCACTACCCCTCACAGGTGACTGCAAGCCCAGAGGAAGCTCCATCCCCACCCCCAGGACTTCGAGCTGGGCAGGGAGGCATGCAGTGTTGGAGTGCTGGCTGGGAAAGGAGTTGTACTGGTGGACTTGGGCTGACTTCTTGGCTCTGTTGGGCCCAGGTTGAGGCGCTGGGCACCTGAACCTTGGCCTTTCTGTGCAGTTCAGCTCGGGTGGAATCTGCTTGCTGGGTTTTAGTATGAGCGTTCAGTAAATAAGGTCACGGGGCCCAACCCCAGGCAGTGTTGTGCCCACATGGCCCAGCTTAGGAAGACATGCCTCCCCAGCCTGCTTGGCTGACCCCTTCTTTCTTCCCCTAGCCCGTCTTTGCCCCCATGCTTCAAAGCAATCCACGCATGCTGACGTCGGGTAGCCATCCCCAGGCCATTGTGTCATCCTCTACCCCTCAGTACCCTTCTGCAGAGCAGCCCACCCCCCAAGCCCTTTATGGTGAGTTCTGTCGTGTCTGCTCCCCTGCTCTGGACCATGTCCTTCGGCCCCTTCTGGCGGGCTCAGGATGGATTCGCCCTTCTTCCCGCTCCAGCCACTGTTCACCAGTCCTACCCGCACCATGCCACACAGCTCCACGCCCACCAACCACAGCCGGCAACCACGCCTACCGGGAGCCAGCCGCAGTCACAGCATGCGGCCCCCAGTCCTGTTCAGGTGCCTGCCATCAGGGATCTCCTGGCTGGGACAGGAGTGGTGATGAGGAGGAGGGCTAGAGGAGGGTGATTGTCCACTGAGGACAGCTGACCTGAGTTCCTGAGGTGTAACTGGCACTTACCCTTTCTTTCCCCAGCAGCATCAGGCGGGGCAGGCCCCACACCTGGGCAGTGGACAGCCTCAACAGAACCTGTACCACCCAGGGGCCCTGACAGGCACGCCACCCTCTCTGCCCCCGGGCCCATCTGCCCAGTCCCCTCAGAGCAGCTTCCCCCAGCCAGCCGCTGTGTACGCCATCCATCCCCACCAGCAGCTGCCCCACGGCTTCACCAATATGGCCCATGTTACCCAGGTAAGAGTCCACAGGGGAACCCTGCTTGGAGTCCTGAGGACACCCACTCGTCCTCGGTCCCTGGTGCCACCCTGGCAGCAGCAGTGCCCCCGGCCCTGGGTTCCTGAAAGCCTGTCCACACCCCCAGTGGCTGTGGTACTCGCAGCTCCTTTCTGTTCTCCACAGGCCCATGTCCAAACTGGAATCACAGCAGCCCCGCCCCCTCACCCTGGGGCTCCCCACCCGCCCCAGGTGATGCTGCTGCACCCACCCCAGAGCCATGGGGGGCCCCCCCAAGGCGCAGTGCCCCAGAGTGGGGTGCCTGCACTCTCAGCTTCCACACCCTCACCCTACCCCTACATCGGACACCCCCAAGGTGAGCAGCCTGGCCAGGCGCCTGGATTTCCAGGAGGAGCCGATGACAGGATTCGTGAGTTCTCGTTAGCTGGGGGAATTTGGCATGGAAGAGCTGAGGGGCTGCAGGTGGGGCAGGATGCACGGGTTCTGGGTGGGGAGTGAGGGGTCTTGGAGGCAGGGCTGTCCCACAGGGCGCCCGCCGACCTGCACCTGTCTGTGAAGTATGTAGGGTGGGCAGAAGCCACAGTCGCCGCCGCCAGGGGCTTGCTCCTGGCTCTGTCCTTTGCTTCCCTCCGTCCTCGCTCAGTTGTGATCCAGCAGCCCCCCTCCCCACTGCCTCCCCAGCTCTCAGTGACCCCGACTGTCTCCTGACTTAGCGAGGTAAGGTCAGCGCAGCAGACAGGGCCAGCCTCGGGTGCGGGGGGCTGAGCGAGGGCTCTGGCTTACTGGGCAACAGCGATTGACCTGTGCTGCTGACAGCCCATGAGACACCTTGCGGAGGCCGCTCCTGCCCAAACACCCCGCACACCCCCACCGGACGCATTGGATGAAGGGACAGCTGCTTGGGTTCTAATGCTCCTGCTCTCTTCTCTTTCCCCTCCAACCAGTTCAATCTCATCCCTCCCAGCAGCTCCCCTTCCACCCCCCGGGGAACTGAAGATTGTCCTGGCCGCGACCTGAGACCTCCATGAGTGGAGGGAAGAGTGATCTATGTCTCTTTCCCCCTCCCCCTCCCCGCAGCTCGGACCAGTCCCAGCCCCCCCCAGCCCCCTGTCCCCTGGGGGAGCTGGGGAATTCCTGCCAAGCACCTTGATTGGGAGGGGCTTGAACAGGGCTGGGGTGGGGGGTTCCTGCTCTGCTCTGCCCTGCCCATCCCCACCCTACCTTGCCCTCCCATCCTCTCATCTAGTCCCCCGCTGGAGACGGAAGATCTTTTATTTTCTATTATTTATAACCTCAGACTTGGGCCCCCAGTTCTTTCTTCCCCATTAACTTGAGTGATCTGCGTGAGAGACATACAGACAGATGCCCCACAAGGATGGTTGGACAAGGACTTTTACTTTTTATTACATAAAAATATTAAAAAAATAATAAAAAAAATAAAATTTTAAACTAACTGAACCTGCCTGTGACTTCCTGTAGAGAGGTTACAGTTGTGTGTCAGTATATGCTGTTTATCTCATCACCTTTCCTGTAAAAACAGGTCAGTTCATCTTAATGAGGAAGGGTAGGGGGTCTCCTGATGGGAGTGTTGTGATGCAGGGGTCCTGTTGCCAAAAGCCTACCGGTTTGCCTCAAGGGGCACCCTCACTGCAGGACCCGACTTGGGAGTTGAGCGGTATCTGCCTCAGCACTGAAGGCTGGTATTGGTGCACAGCTTAGTTAGGGCGATATGGGAGAGCCAGCAGAGAATTGGAAGAAGCTAGGAAACTTAACTACTAAATGGGGACTTAACAGTTTGGGAGAATGGCACCGATGTCTGTATCAGACCGAAGTGGGTAGCAAGGCAGGCACTGGGGGCAGTGTGGGGGAGGGGAAGGGCATGTGGAGCCAGAATGGATGCTCTAGGCAGGGATGGCTTGGAAACAGCTGGGAAGAATCCTGCAGGCAGCCTCGAAGCGGTGGCAAGTCTGTGGGGTGACTGCACGACTGGCTGAGTGCTCCTTTAGTGTCAGGGAAGCTTGCAGGTGGCGATTTGCCATCTACCTTTACTGTCTGAGCACAGATCAGGAGATCTGTTTAAAGTGTTGCAAAATCCATCAGGTTAGCTCCCTACAGTTGCTAGGATGTGAACCCCTGAAGGCAGGCTGCAGCTTTGCCTGCTTTTGCTACAACACCAACCCAGAGAAAGTTGTAGAGGAAGCCTTACTCGGGTATAGCTAGGACTGATTATGCTCACCTGCCACCTGGCTGTGCAGTGTGGCGTCAGCATCTACCTTGTAAAGACAACACTATTCCTTGTACGTGTGTATGTAACCAATGTTGGACCCATTCTTCAGCCTCTGACACCTGTTCTTAGAACTGGTGACAGCAGTAGTGAACCATCTAGAGCGTAAAGAATGATGTGACTTACAGTATTTGGTGAGTACTGACTGCATATGTGCTGGGTGCTTCGAGGGCAGGCAATGAACACAGCCCAGCCCCCACCATCACAGCTCAGTGGGGAGCTAACCTAGTTACCGAGTGAAGACCCAACTGTTTCCTTGATAAACTCAACCATTTCCTCCACTGTGACATGTTGCCAGGCCATCTCACGTTGTCAGAGCAGTGATTATGGCTTTATTAAGGATCTGAGAGTAACATGAAGATCTTCCATCTACTGATTCACTCCCTAGCCAGGGCTGGGCTGGGCTAAAGCCAACTCGTAATCAGGCTGCTGTCCAGTGGTTTTTGGAAGTGGATGAGTCGGGATGAGAACCAGTGCCCTGGTGTGGGAGGCCCCAGTGCTGCAAATGGCAGCTTAGCTCACTGCGTAAGGAGCTGCCCAGGAGATGGTCTCAATGCTTGGGAAAAATCCAGGTGCAATGGCTCTGCCCCTGCCCAGGGACTCTGCTCCCTTTGGCACTCTCCCTCACCCTCCATGGGACAGACACAGGCCAACTTACTATTCACAGAACAGTTTATTGGCCCACCTCACCTGGCAGACCCGCCCTCTGGGTAAGTGTCCATAGCTGTGCTCAGCTGGGTCACAGCCTGTACCCACATGGGGCACCAGAAGCAGGAGGGGACACTGGCCAGGGCAGCCCTCAACACGAGCACCAGTGCAGTCCAGACTCAACTCCACTTGAGGTTCTTGTCCTCCTCGGTCATGGCCGGTGTGTCTGTGACCAGGCCCGTGCCGATGGTCCGGTTGCCATCTCGCAAGGTGAAGCGCTGGCCTTTCTCTAAGATCATTGGCTGCCGTAAGATCAAGCTGAGCTTTAGGTCTTCCCCGGGCATGGCCAGCTCCTGGGGAAAAGGGACAGTAACATGCAATTGGTGTTTGCTGTGCAGGGTCACGGTCATAGATCAAGAGGAGAACTGGGGACCACTTGGGCCCAAGATGCACAGCCAGCATGAGGCCAGGGGCCAGGGAACCGTGCTCCTCTGACAGGCATAGCAGAGGGCTGAGGCGGCTCCGGCTGTGCAGGTCTCTCCGTTACAGCACCTGGGCAAGCCCTCGCCAGAGCAACTCTTTGCTGCTACAGCTAAGCTTGTGCGTCCCTTAACCTTAGGCCTCCTGGGTGTGTGCCTACTGGCCAAGACCCACCTCTCTACCACTTCCACAGCAGCAGCGGCCACCACTTTTGTCCCTCCAAAGAAAGCCCAGTGACCAGGCTGCAGCATTGGATTTGGGCATCTCCGCCACCTCATACCTTCCCTGGAGGCAGGATGACCCGACAGGCCATGTCCCAAGTCAGAGAGAACATGACAGGCATGAAGTGGGACACGAAGGGTTTGTGGCGGCCACCTTCCTCCTTGCTGAGGATGTAAACCTGCAAGTGGGAGCAATGAGGAAGCGATCGGCCGCAGCTGGCAGCACAGCACCACCTCCCTGCAGGGTCCAGCTCAGCCCTGGGAGTCACCGGCCGGCGCCCTCACCTGCGCTTCCACCTTTTGGTGGGGCTGGATGGAACCCGGCTTGGCCATGACCAAACCGCGCCTCAAGTCCTCTCGCTTCAGGCCCCGGACCAGGGCCCCGAGGTTGTCCCCTGCTTCTGCCCTCTCGAGGCTCTTGTGAAACATCTCAATGCCTAGAGAAAGGGGAGGGGGAGGAGAAGGAAGATTGAGGGGCTCAAGGGAGTGACTCACACTGAGGTTAGCCACAGGGCCCCACACGTGCCAGCCATACCTGTCACTACACTGCGGAGGCTCTTGCTGTGTCCAAGAAACTCACACTCGTCCCCCTTCTTCAGGATGCCACGCTCCAACGTCCCCGTCACAACCGTGCCCCGGCCTGAGGGACGGCCAGGACGAGATGTCAGCGTGCCTGGGGCTCAGCTCCCAACGCAGATGGGGGGGCATGGCCAACCCAGGTCCTCACCAGGGATGGAGTAGACAGACTCGATGGGCAGCAGAAAAGGCTTCTCCAGATCACGGGTGGGTACAGGGATGTAGGTGTCCACGGCATCCAGCAGCTTCTGCACGGACTTGACGCCCAGCTCCGGGTCCCGCTGCTGTGGAGGGATGGGCACAGAGGGCGCACAGTCACACACTGTGTTCTCGCCATAGGCAGCGGAGCAGGGCTCAGGGTGCCTGGCCGGCCTTCACCTCGAGGGCACAGAGCGCAGAGCCCACGATGACAGGGGTCTCCTCCCCTTTATAGCCAAACTCGGTGAGCAGCTCCCGGATCTCCAGCTCCACCAGCTCCACCATCTCCGAGTCCTGGACGGCGTCGGCCTTGTTCACGTACACCACGATGTGCTCCACCCCGATCTGGCCCGTGGGGAAAGAACAGTGTCCAGGGCCGCCCCACCACTCCTACCACCACCACTAGCTCTGCCTCTGCATCCACCAAGCTCGCAGCATACCTGTTTGGCCAGCAGCAGGTGCTCGCGGGTCTGGGGCATGGGGCCATCATTGGCTGCCACCACCAGGATGCAGCCGTCCAGGGGGGCAGTGCCAGTGATCATGTTCTGGGAAAGAGAATGGCAACGGGTAGCCCCTCCTCTGCACCCCACATCCCCTGCCTGCAACGCCTGGACACTTCCACCACACCACCGTCACCCCAGCATCTTGTCAGGACTGCATTCACCCCTCACCTTGACATAATCTGCGTGCCCCGGGCAGTCCGTGTGGGCATAGTGGCGGGCAGCCGTGCTGTACTCCACATGGGCTGCGTTGATGGTGATGCCCCTGGCGCGCTCCTCGGGGGCGTTGTCAATCTCCTCGTACTTCTTGAACTTGGCCCCGCCTCCCTCAGCCAGAACTAGAGGAGGGAAGGGCAGGGCTGCAGCTCAGGGTTCCTGGTTCCCACGCTCCCCGGCTCTGCTCCTCCCACCCTCATGCAGGACTGGGATGAAAAGGAAACCCAGCCGCCACCTGCTAGCCAGAGCTAAGGGGAGTGCCCTGGAACCTGACCTTGCAGAACATTCTCCAAAAGAGACCACTCAGGACACTCCAACCCCTCCAGCCAAGTCATGCACCACAAAACTGCATTTTCGTGCCGCCCACCCTTGCTGACGCCCAGGTCTCCCCCAAGCCCGGTGTCCAACAAGCCGCAGCCCCCGCCCCAGGCCCGCTCACTCTTGGTGATGGCCGCGGTCAGTGTGGTCTTGCCGTGATCCACATGCCCGATGGTCCCCACGTTTACGTGGGGCTTGTCGCGCACGTACGCCTTCTTGGCCTCCACCGCCAGGCCGCGGCACAACACCGGCCATGCCCGGGCCTGCAGTGGCCGCAACAGACCCTGCAGGAACGGGGTCTGGCTGGCGCCGAGACCTGCCAAGACACACCACACGGGATCGGGAGTGAGGGCGTGCATGGCGCCCGATCCCGGTCACCCGCACCCGCTCCTCCCGCGTGCTCCCCGCCCGCCATCGCCCTTCCTCAGCCCCTCACCACTGAAGCGGGGTGTCGCGCGCAGCAGGGCAGCGGCGGCCGCCATGGTGCTCGGCCTCGCGCCCCCGGGGATACCGGCGCCCGGAAAGCCCGCGCGTGCGCGTGCAGGCGAGAAAGGACACTCGCGGCAGAGAGCCGCTTCCGGCGGAAGTGACTGGAGGGCGCCTCTAGCCCTTAGTTGTCTATGGCCATTTCCACCGATTTCCGGGTATGCGGCCGAACCCACGCCTGTTCTCCCGGTTGGCGCCAAAGGGTGGGGAGCGATGTGAAGCGTCCCAGGAAGCCCTGGCGCCGCGAGGCGTCATGGGAGTTGTAGTTCCCAGGGTGGCGGTTCTGGGTTCTTGTTCTGGGAGTTCAGGAGGGAATGCAGCGCGGGCCGGCGCCGACTGGCTGACGAATTGCCCTAACCCCAGCCGTTTCGCTCTGGCTTACCTGGAGTCCGACTCCCTCCGCAGGTCTTGTTATATGGCCCCTGTGCCGCAGGCCGGCCCTGACCCCTCTTAAAGAGTGAGACCCAAGCGTGATCTGTCTCTGCCTAGCCTTTGCTTTCTTTTTAAACATTTATTTCATTTTTATCGGAAAGGCAGATATACAGAGAGGAGAAACAGAAAAGAACATCTTTCATCTTTCGTCCACTGGTTCACTCCCCAAGTGGCTGCAAAGGCCGGAGCTGAGCTGATCTGAAGCCAGGAGCCAGGAGCTTCTTCCAGGTCTCCCAGATGGGTGCAGGGTCCCAAGGCTTTGGGACATTCTCCACCGCCCTCCCAGGCCACAAGCAGAAAGCTGGATGGGATGTGGATTAGAACCGGTGCCCATATGGGATCCTGGCGCTTGCAAGATGACTTCAGCTGCTAGGCTACCACACCAAGCCCTAGTCTTTGCTTTCTTAGCTGTAAAATAGGGATGACTTCTGCCCGCGAGAGAAAAAGAGCTAGGTAGCAGTGGGCTTCCAGGGAGCTCCAGGCCGCCAAGTCCTTGGCCCCTCCAAGACCTGCTGTTAGGGACAGAACCTCCAAGCCAAACAAGAGGCTGGCCTCCCACCCCGGGGCATCTCCCACCGCCTCCCAAGGAGCCATGTCCACCCCATAGTGAGGGCTTCTGCTTCAGGGTGCCTTAGCCAGTCTGTCCTGCTCCCTCCATGACAGTCTGCACCAGTGAGGGCAGCAGGAAAGTGTGCTGGGGTTATGAAGGAGGCTTGGTGTCTGCAGCAGTCATCCCATCTGAGGTTCTGTGGGGCAGGGACAGCTGCCTAGCCCTAGTCCTGCCTCAGTTGTCCACAGCGCCGGCTCACACTGAATTCCCCCTGCGTGCTCGGGCCTTCCCCCAGCCCCTATTTTACAGGTGAGAAAACAGTATTTCAGATTGCAACAAGCAGGCACCAACCCCTGCGTGGTGCCATAGCTACCTAACCCTAACCCTTTATGCGCTTGCGCAAATCCTGGACATGTATCCTAAGATGTGAGTGCCCACTAGCAAGAGAGGGAGATCTTCCAGCTGCAGCCTCACTCCCCAAATGGCCAAAGCAGTCAAGAGTTGGGCCAATCTGAAGCTGGGAGCCAAGAGCTTCTTCCAGGCCTCCCACACATGATGCAGGAACCCAAGGAACTGGGCCATCCTCTGCTGTTTTCCCAGGCCACAAGCAGGGAGTGGCTCTGAAAGGGAGCAGCTGGGATTCAAACCCGTGCCTAAACGGAATGCCAGTGCTGCAGGTAAAGGACTAGCCTGCTACACCATAGCACCGGCTGGCTTTATGTATTTAAATGTGTTCATCTGAAGAAAAAAAAAACTGGTGTGAATACATTTTAAGTTTAGACAGTGAACCAGCTGAAAGAGCATTCTGTGGCAGATATCATGGGTAGAGTGAATCCGCAGAACTGCTTGGGCAGGTGGTACAGTGGATCTAGTTGGAGCAACACAGCACTCGAGAGGAGTCTTCAGGGAGGGTAATCTTCTAGAACTGTTGACTGTACTTACCCTGTGAGCCAGGCAGCCAGGAGTCTTGGCTTAGCGGATCTGACACAGGCTGGGGTGAGCAGCAGGGGGAACGAGGCAGCTGACAGAACTAGCCTGGAGAAGCCTCCTTCAGCCACTGTCGCCAAACCCTGGTGCCAAGACTTGGACTTCATCTGCAGCTGTAAGTGCCCTTCCTGCACCCACCAGCCCAGCACCAGGTGCTTTCAAGGCCTCCCTGAGACATGGCGCTCTGGACCCCTAGGTTGTAGGTGAATGCTCTTGTATCCCACCCAGCTGGCTGCTGTTCTAACTTTGGTGTTGGCGAGTAGCAGCAAATCTCCCCACATGTGTTTCCAAAATCTGGGCCCGACATGGTGGCCTAGCGGCTAAAGTCCTTGCCTTGCATGCGCCAGGATCCATAGGGGCACAGGTTCTAATCCCAGCAGCCCCGCTTCTCATCCAGCTCCCTGCCTGTGGCCTTCTTTCCGGGTCTCCCACATGGGTACAGGGTCCCAGAGCATTAGGCCGTCCTTGACTGCTTTCCCAGGCCACAGGCAGGGAGCTAGATGGGAAATGCAGCCGCCGGGATTAGAACCTGCGCACATGGGATCCTGGTGCGTTCAAGCAAGGACTTTAACCACTACGCTATCGCGTCAGGCCCAATAATTTTTTAAAAGTTGCTTTTGAGCTCAAATCCCTTTCCCCCAGTGATGATCATCCTGTTACACATTTTTAAAATACTTTACTCACCTGATAGGATGAATGACAGCTGTTAGATTTACCTGTTACCCAAAAAGAGAAAGTATTAGCCTAGTACAAGCAAGCCCTTATTAAATAATGGGAAGTCCTCTCCGGGGCCTTCCCTCAGCATAATGGAGAGGTAGAGAGAAAAGCAGGAGCCACTGGGATGAATAGGCCCGGATGAAAAAGGAACCCAAAGAAGCAGGCGAGCAAAGACGCATGCAGGAGCCTTTTATATATGCACATACAATCTAACTGCCACTGGGCTCTCCCTTCCCCCTCCCCAAGCTCCCTCCCCTCCAGGTTCATAATCTGTGTCCTTTGTGAATTTTCCCAAGTCCATCATGCTTCCCACTGGAGTTCATAGACAGTACCAGTAACAGCGATAAAGGGGACACTGACCATCTCAGGTGATTATAAACAATCAGCCTCTTATGGATGGCTGATTAATGAATTACATCACAAGTTCTTGTTACATAAAGTACAGGTAAGGATGAAGTGACAGAGTAACATAGAGTAAGATTCACGTATAATGTCTCTAGATTTGACAGCATATTATATGAGAACAAGCATATTATATCTGACCTTTTGGGATTGGCTCATTTCCCTTAGCATAATGGTCTCTAGTTTGGCCCATTTGGCCACAAAGTAATACATTTCTTTTTTTTTTTTTTTTTAATCGCTGAGTAGTACTCCGTAGTATAGATGAATCAGTCTCTTTATCCAGTCCTCCGTTGATGGGCATTTAGCTTCCTGCGATTGTTGATTGTGCTGCAATGAACATTGGGGTGCATGTTGCTTTGCAGTATAACAAGTCTTTTGGATATATTCCTAGAAGTGGTGTTTCTGGGTCATATGGCAGGTGAATGTTTAATTGCCTAAGTCTTCTCCATACTGCCTTCCCTAATGGCTGCACTAGCCTGCATTCCCGCCAGCAGTGGAGTAGGCTTCCTTTTTCTCCGCAACTTCGCCAGCAGGTGTTGTTGGTAGTTTTCTGTATGTGGGCAATTCTTTCTGGCGTTAAGTGGAACCTTAGTGTTGTTTTTATTTGAATTTTCCTTATTGCCAGAGCTTGAACACTTTTTCATGCATTTGTTAGCCATTTGAATTTGTCCCTTGGTAAAGCGTCTGCCCATTTCTTGACCGGTTTGTTTGTTTTGATGTTATTGTTTCTCTGGAGTTCTTTGTGTTTCCTGGAAATTATCCCTTTTTCCTTGCCTTCGTTTGTGGGGAGCTTGATTACAATGTATCTGGTCTTTGGGGTCCAATCTCTTTCCTTCTTGAATTTGGATTGCTTTCATCTTCTCTGAATTTGGGAAGTTCTCCTTCACAATTTCATTGAACACCTCCTGAAATCCTGACTCTCTTTCCACACCTTCCGGAATTCCTATAATTCTGATACTTGAGTTTGTGGTGGTGTCCTTGATTTTTTGTCTAGATTTCTTGGTTTTGATCAGATTTTTTCCCAGGTGTTTTCTTTGTTCTGTGTTCTCAATCTGGTTACCTTCTACGTCTGAAATTCTCGCCTCTGCAGCGTTCATTCCGCTGGTCAAGCTTGCCATCCTTTTTTCCAGTTGTGAAATACTGTGTTGGACCTGCGCCATTTCTTTTATATAATCAAGTCTGAATTCCCCGTACTCTTCCCACTGCTTCGCTTGGTTTCTGAGGAATTTAAGCATTATTCTTTTAAATTCCGCATCCGATACTTCCTCAGTGTCTTCATCTTGCAACTCTGAGACTGAGACTGTTTTTCGGTCATTTTGGGGAGGAATGCTGGCTCTTTCCTCTGGATAATCATTTTTTCTGATACTTCTCCGCATCGCGTTGTGTTTTCTTGTTGTTTTGAAATTGTAGCCTCTGGTGTGCTTTTGAGGGTTTCTGGGACCAATGTGTGTATCTGTTGCTCTGTGGGTTGCTGGGGCCCGTCAGTCGGCCAGGTTCCGGGGGTGTTTGTCAGCTGCTGCCACCTTGTGGACCACCGGTGCTTTCTCACTCCTCAGCAGTCACGTTTCCCAGTCTCAGGCGGATAAGGGGCTTTGTGCAGGTTCTTTCTTGGTGCCTCCGCAGCCTCTGCTTGCTGTGCAGTTGCCTAGAGCGGGTACGGTGCAGCCACTGCCACTCGGTGTGCAGACAGCAGCGTGGTTCTCCGCGCTCTGTGGGGCACCGCGCCTTCTGCAGCCTCCAAAAGGCAAGCGATGGTGGGGAAGTGGGTGGCTTTGTTCGCCCCGGGATTTGTACCTCCAGGCCGGGTATTGGTGTGGCGCTGGCAGAGTCTGAGTCCGTGAGAAAAACTTCTGAGCCCGGGGGCCCTTGTGTCTCTGTTGGGGGAGAGGGGGGCGATTCAGGCGTCCCTCTGGGCGGCTCAGGCCCGAGTGCCCTTGGGTAGGGGGAGGTTAGGGGCTTGCTCCGCGCGCC